GGAGTGCACAGCTTTTCTTCCTTACCCAGCTATTCTACCCTCCCTTCTTCCCTCTTGTAATATCAGACTCAAAAGTGGCATCACCCACTATGAGCTTTGATTCCAGGCTTCCTAAATTCCTTCCTTCCCCTGCCCTTGCCATAGTCCTAATCTCTTTCCCTCACACAACACCCCAGAGCTTTCAAACTGGACCTACCCTTTTTCATGAAGACAGTACTAGTGTCCTAGTTGACCTCTCTGAGGAGCATCCTGTTTCCTCTTGGGACCTATCCTCTTTCTTACTTCCTTTTTTCCTTTCGATACAGGGATTCTCTGTGTAGTCCTGGCTGTCCTGGAACTCACTCTGCAGACCAAGCTGGCCTTGAACTCACAGAGATCTACCTGACCCACCCTGCCTCCCAAGTTCCCAAGTACTGGGATTAAAGGTGTGCACCACCTCAGCCTAGCAGGTCCTTTTTTTTTTTTTTTTTTTTTTTTTTTTTTTTTTGGAATTTTATATTTTTTTATTTTTATATATCAATCCCAGTTCCCTCTCCCTCCCATCCTCCCCGTGCCACCCCTCCCCATCCCATTCCCCATTCACTCCCCAGGGAGGGTGAGGCCTTCCAGGAGGGATCATCAAAATCTGTAAAGTCATTTGGGGTAGGGCCTAGGCATTCCATGTCTCTAGGTTAAGGGGTTATCCCTCCATGGGGAATATGCTCCTGAAGACCTTTTGTGCAACAGGGACATGTCCTGGTTCCACTATCAGAGGTCCCATAGACTGCCCAGGCCTGGAGGGTGGGGGTGGGGGGTCCTGCTGTCTTCCTTACTGCAGTTTCTTTTGCACGTGCTAAAGGCTCTGAGTAGGAATGACATATCTTCATCTCTAGGATGAATGGAACTGGCTTTTCTTGAAGTCTTTTCTCCCTAGGGTCTTTTTCCTTTGGCTAGTCAGACACTCCAGGCAGGTACCTTATCCTCGGCCAGGCTAGCAACTACACTGTGTGGGGTGAGCAAGGGGCTGGTTTCCTTTCTCAGCCCTGAAGTATGATATGTGTCCCCCACACTGAATCTTATTCCTTCTAAAGGATCGACCTTAGGTAGAGCAATATTTCATTGTCTGCAGCTGGAAGAAGGGTATCATCTGGCTGTTTTGGGCAGCAGAGTGGGTCAAAACTGTGGGTATGTCCTTAGACATCTCCTGTTCTTAGACCACCTTCTTTCACACTGCTTATAGAAGTGTGGGGAAGGCTACACCTTTCTATCACTGCCAGGCTCTGAAGTGTAGGGAAGGTCACATGGCCATGGCAGTTGTTTCAGAGTCAGTAGGTGAGTTAGACCTTGCCAGCTGTATTCTGGTGATCATTGCTTGTCCTTTCTGTTCTTATGCTAAAAAAAAAAAAAAAATAGAAAATTCCTTGCCACTTTTCATAGGTACGTACCTTAGAGTTCTCCAGTTCTATGAGAAGTGAAGTTACCTGCCCAAGGCTCCCTAGCCACAAGTCACAGAGCTGAAATCTGAATCCATTGATCCTGGCTAGCCTAGAACAAGACACGTAAACCAGGTTGGTCTCAAATTCAGAGATCAACCTTGGAATCCTGAGTATTGGGATTAAAGGTGTGCACCACCATGCTCAGCATTCAGATCTACTGATGTATAAAGACAGGATAATTAGAGCCTGGGGAGGTTAAATATTTACAAAGAAGGCAAGCCCAGTCACACAGAGTTGAACTCAGACCCTCTGACTTCATATCATGTTCTTGGTACAATCCCACTTCCTGTCACCAAGGCTGGTGTAATCCATGTACTCCGATGGCTTGGGAGCATCTGTTCTGAAGTGTTGATGAATGGGTACCTATTTGTGTTTTAATTTTTCCATGTATGTGTGGTTTACTCTAGATAACCCCAATACTCCGGCACTGCCCTGAGAAGGTAAGGGTTTTTTGTTGTCCATTTGCTTTCCTCTCTTCTGTCTCACTAATATATTTGCCAAAATATAACACAAACAATGCAGTCTACCTTATCCTATACAGGATGATCATGTTGTCTGAAGCCAAGAGAAGAGTCTAACGTGAGAAACAAGGCTTTGTAGTCATTTGAAAAGTTGCAGATGAGCACTGTGCTGGCTAGTTTTATGATAACTAGACATAAGCTAGAGCCATCAGAGGAAGGAACCTCAACTGAGAAAATGCTTGCACAAGATCAGTCTGAAGGTAACCCTAAAGAGCATTTCCTTAATTTGTAATTGATATGGGAAGGTCCAGCCTATTGTGGGTGAGCCACCCCTAGGATGATGGTCCTGGGTTCTAGTAAGAAAGCACATTGAAACCAGGTATGGTAGTCCACAACATTAATCCCAGTACTTGTGAGGCAAAGGCAGATGGATCACTGAGTTCAAGGCCAGCCTGGTCCACAAATAGTTCCAGAACAGCCAGGACTATATAGAGAAACCATGTCTCCAAAAACAAAAAGAAAAAAGAAAAGACAGAAAAGAAAGCGGGTTGAGCAAGGCATGTGAAACCAGCCAGTAAGCAGCATTCCTCCATGGCTTCTGCATTAGCTCCTGCTTCTAGGTTTCTGTCCTGATTTTCTCCAGGGATAAATAGTGACATGGAAGTGTAAGCCAAATGCATCTGGGTCGTAGTGATTCACCACAGCAATAGCAACCCTAAATAAGGCAAGCACCAAGCCACCGTACAGAAAGGGACCTAGGCTGTCTCAACTCCAATGAAGATGGCTATTAAGATTTTTTAAGCCAAATGACAATTCCCATTATCAGCAAAACATCAAAGGGCATGTCAATGTTCATAAACATGGCTGGAATTGTAATCTTGTCTTAATTTACTTTTAGTATTTGACGGTTTAGCAGAAGTTACAAGTTCAGGGGTTTGCACCTAGTGTCCTATGACTATATAGTCAGTGCTGAATAACCTGGTCAATGCCAGATCATGTACACACTAATAGTCTAATGGTTATAATGTAAGCAAAACTTTCCTTTGCCTAGTGATACATTAGCTGTGGTAACACTGCATCAGAATGCATCACTCACACTAGTGTGTGTGTGGGGGGGGAACAGTAATATTGCCAGATGTATAAAAGTACTGCATATACAATTACAGGTAGTGCCTAATGCTTGATAATGATATAAATAATGATGTCACTAGTTTATGCATTTACTATACTGAACTTTTTACTGTGATTTTAAAGCATATTCCTTCCTACTAAAGAGATTCACAATTGCTAGGTGTAATGGTACACACCTGTAGCCCCAGCACTCAGAAAGCTGAGATAAGAGATCAAAAGGTCAAAGGCAGTGTGGGGCTTTGTAGCAAAAACCCCGTCTCAAACAAATACATAATAAAATTCCCTCTTTTAACAGAATGTCTTAATACACCAACAGCAACCTTCATACATCCCATGCTACCAAGACTCTTTTTTGTTTATTATGTATGTGAGGTATGCCTTGTATGTGTGTCTGTGTGTGTGTGTGGGGGGGGGTGCTATTCCGGTCTGTGAATGCCTGTTGAATGTGCAGGCAGGCATGCTAAGGTAGGTTGTCTTTTTCTGTTGCTCATCAACTTATTGCTTTGAGACAAGATCTCATGATGAATAGGAAGCTCAGTTTCAGTCAAGCTGGATGGCCAGAGCTCTCAAGATCTGTTTGTCTCTGCCCTCAAATAATGGGCTACAAGAATGAGCAGTCATGAGTGGCTTCTTATGTGGATGCTGGGGATTCAAAAGCCAGGTCCCCTTGCTTGTACAGAAAGTATTCTCACCCACGAAACCATCTAACTCTCTCTTGCTGTTATCAAGAAGCCCCAGGAAGTAATTGTTCTGCACCACCTAAGTTTAAAAAAACACACTTGAGATGAGAATGCTTTCACGACAACAGTCACCTCTGGGAAGTGACACAACTGTATATAGAGATTAACAAAAAACGTACACCAGATTGGAGACTGGAGACTTTGGGTCAAACAAAAGACACCCACATTCTTAGGTATTCTGTTAAAGTTAATACTGGAATATAATCATTTGGAGCAACTTCCACGTCTTTGTTTCAAAAGTTTTCTAGCATCACCTCACCCCTCTCTGGTTGTAAAAATCATAGACTATTATGTTTGCTTTTCTCTGCTTCTAACTGTTAAGCCCTGTTATGGTAAATCAATGATTCCTTTCCAGTGTTCATCCATAGTACTTAACAGAGCCACATAAGTAAAGATGCTGCCTAGTACTGAAACGGGAACTGTGTTCACGGTGAGAATCTCGCAGCTGAACTTCTAAAAATCCACCAATATTCAAAAACTTTTAAAACCTACATAATGCTACAAGTGGAACATTCCACACTAGGCTTCATATGAAACAGTCAAAACGCACGTAAATTAAAACTATTGTATAAAATTGCCTTCAGGTAGCCAGGTGGGGTGGGATACACCTTTAATTCCAGCATTCAGGTGGCAAAGGAAGGCGATCTCTGAGTTCTAGGCCAGCTTAGTCTACAAAGCAAGTTCCAGGACAGCTAGGGCTGTTACAGAGAGAAACACTGTCTCGAAAAATAAAAAAAAAATAAAAAATTGCCTTTAGCCGGGCGGTGGTGGCGCAGCCTTTACACTGGGGAAGCAGAGGCAGGCGGATCTTTGTGAGTTCAAGGCCAGCCTAGTCTACAGTGTTCCTGAACACCCTGCAAAGCTTCAGATCTTGAAAAACAAACAACAACAAAATTGACTTCAAACTATGTGTGTAAGGACTTGAGACCCATCCCAAAGACACTGCGGGATCTGGGATGCGAACAAGAGAGTGCACCGCAGAACCTATGGATTTGCTAAGTATGTGGCGTTCACCTGGATGCACAGTGTAACTCTCAAATCCTGGGAGGTTGCTGAACTCAGAAGACCACTATGTGGCTCCTCTGAGGAAATGGGGCGTGGCCCAGAGCGCACAGCCTTTGGCTGCTCTGACCGAACCAGCAACACCAGAGGCCGGGAAGTTGCTGTCTTGACCTCCTCTCCTAGGCCCTTACCATTTGATGACATTGTGAACCAACGGCAAAAAGGAGTAATTCTCCTCCTTCACGCCTGCGGGGGACTGAGGGCGCGGAGCCGCCGGCGGCGGGAGCGCGGCGACCGGTAGAGGCTGAGGCGGCGGCGGCGGCTTGGACTCCGGCAGCAGCTCGGGCGGTGGCTGCAGTGTGTCTTCGGCCTGTCTCCCACCCGCAACCCCGGAGGAAGCCATGGTACCAGGCGTGCGGTAACTGATGAGAGTCGCGGGATGCTCACGTCACAGCTGCGCGCCCGGGAAGCCGGGCGGTGAAAGGCTCTGAGCCTGCGCCCTAGGCGTAGGCGGGCAAATGTTGCTAGGCGACAAGTGTCCGGCCGGCTAAATTAAGTAGTCAGAAGTAGAGGACCTATTTCAGTCATCTTTTTCCAGTTCGCATGACGAAAGAAGGGTCAAAACACCAACAAGGACCTTCTATCCACCCTGGGACTGGCAGGAAGAACGGATGACGCTGGTGAGCGCCGTGTGAAAATGGGGCTCCGAGGCAGCGAGCATCCTGATGACAAGGACCTACGCTTCTTTGTGTCATGCCAGCCTCCAGGAGGGTCCCTAACTGGCGACAGCAAAACACACCATACAAACACATTGTCTGCCGAGGTTCCACGTGGCTACCGAGGGAAACATCAACGGTTCTTCAATCATTTTGCCTGCATCTAGCAAGTGCCACATACATATGCATGCTAAGACTCTTGGGCCAAAAGTAGGGGGCTTCTGATACTTTCCCAAGGAAAATATGACATGGAAGCTGTGTTATAAATTAGTGGACAAGAGTGGCAGAAATTCTGATCTTGACTAACAAAAGGCAGAATTAGGAAAACTGGAAGAGGCCATGTCAGTCCCCCATGTCAGTAAAGAAAGGCAAAGAGCTCACATCCTGGAAGCAAAAAGGAACAGAAAGGGGCTGGAGAGATGTCTCAGTGGTTAAAGAGTGCTCAGTGCTCTTCCAGAAGACCCTGGTTCGATCCCCAGCACCCACAAGGCAGCTCATGACTGTTTGTAACTCCAGTTCCAGGGGATCAGACACCCTCACACAGACATACATGCAGGCAAACACCAATGGACATAAAGTAAAAATATATAAGTCATGAAAAAAAGGAACAGGAATGTGAATTTCACAGAATTTCACAGTGGCCAAATGAAGCAGGGTTGTCCCTGACTTCAGCTGCCTTGGGAAGGGCATATGGAGCCAGCTCTTCCAAAAATGAGATGTTGGAGGTGTTTTGAGTTATTTGTCTCAGAATTGTTTTCTTCCAAGCTGCAGAGAGTGTCCCAAACAGAGGAAGTGTTGGGCAAAGAATGATTGAAGTGTTGCATAATGGAACACAGAGACAAGATGAAATTTGGCAAGGTGATTTCCTTTTGAAAAATGAGTGCACCAGAACCCAAACCAAGACAGCAAAAATATTCATCAAAATGCCCACTGCCTTTACCCCTGACTTAGATGGTGGCTGCATTCCATCTCATTGGGGGGAACACAACTTCACAATATAACTTGATGGGCTAGTCACCCAAAGGGGAGGGAGGGTGTTCAGGACATTATAAGTCCTGGTGGGACTAAGTGTCTTTGACAGAGAAATGTTTCTCACTGCAGGAAACTGTAAGGTTTTCTTCTAACCCAGTACCTCTCCACCTGAGGGGAGGGTTTGTGAGTCTTGGGGGAGAATGGAGAATGGAATGGCCTATTGAAATTGGACCAAGTGTGCCAGAAGAAATTAGACACCTTTGGAGATATCTGGAAGAAATTATGGTAAAATAATAGTGTTAGTAAATAAGTTATCATTACTATTGTAGAATGGAAGTGACAAGAAACAATTAAAACCCTCATTTAATCCACTGAGAAACTCTGAAAGGTACATCTTAATTTTTCATTTCATAGAGAAGGAAACTGGAGTTAAACAAAGGCTATAATAGTAGCCCCAGGGTCAAGGTCACAGAGCTTCCTTGACATCAAGTCTGTGGTCTAAAATCTACAGGTAGGCGACCTTGGGTTCTGCAACCTTTTTATTCAGTGTTAATGTTTTTATTCAGAATTCAAAAAGCAACCTAGTAGCCACAAGTAACGTCCTCATACCACGTCATTTTTCCCCCTCGATGTGTTTTATAACTTAATTACAAAGTCCCAAATCTAACATTGGCAGAATGAGGGCACCTCTCTAAAAAAGCACTTAAGATATAAATAGATATGGCTAAAGAAAACAAATTGGGAATGTAGGAAGCATGAATAAGTATGGTGCATTGACAGTTTGCCCTAAAAATAGTTAATATAATTAGTGGCAAAGAATAGAGCTGACTTCACAACATTGAAAACAGATGTCAGAAAAATGCTCCCTATTCTGGTTTCATTAAAGCTGAAATTGCTGCAAATAAGTGTGTGTCTGTACAGTCATGCTGATGAAAGTTAGAAAGGGGGGTGGGTGACACTGAGATAGATATAGAGAGATTGTGTGAGGCTTTATCCAGTTCTACTGCAGCTGTGCCTTCCTGGGCAGCTTCCTGGGCTTCTCGGGGTACCTTGTCCCACCAGGTGTGTGACTAAAAGGCCAGGCTTGAGTAGCCTGCCTGCCTTCAAGCCAGTCTCCACCTCTTGGGTGTGGTATGAGTTTAGACAGTTGCTTAACTTCACTTTGAATAGCTCCATAGCATCATAGGAAATCTGAGTGGGTTATTTATGTATAGCAATAGTGGGAATGTGTCCCAAAAAGTTAATGTGTGAGAAATAATCCCAGGGTCAGGGGTAGCACCTTTATGTGTCATTAGGCTGAGAAACATGGATGCATTCATGTTACTTTAAGAGCGATTTCTTACCAAGGGAATAAGTTTGCTATAAAAGCACACTCTGCATTCTCTTTCTAGTCAGTCAGCGCCTGTTGTCATGACAGAGCCATAAGCCCCTTGACAAATGTAGCCCTTGACCTTGGCCTTCTGAGCCTCTGCAACTGTGTACAAAATCTGTTCATTATCTATCATCCAGTCTGTGGTCTGCTAGAATACAAAATGTACTAATACTTGGTATAATTATCTGTGTGGAGTAATATAAAATGTATTCTCACTTGGATGTGGGGTGTTCTTCCTTTTCCTGTCAAAAGCTAGACTGACAAAAGATTAAAATATACTCAGGGACTCAGCGGTTACAAGCAATGGCTGCTCTTCCAGAGGACCTTGATTTGATCCCCAGCATCCACATGGGCAGTTCACAACTGTGTATAATTCCAGTTCTAAGAGATATGATTCCCTCTTCTGGCACCCACTAAAGGGACAGATATTTGGAATATGGTACATATGTCAGGCACAGAAACATTTGTTGTAGTTGCAAGGGGAGGGCTTGGAGGACCAGCATCCTGGAGCAGCTAAGGCTCTCTTCTGACCTCCTTGAGCACCCATGTGTATGGGTCTATGCATGTACAGAGATACACTCACAGACACATAAAAATAATTTATAAGAGGGACTTAATATGTGGGACTTTTTGTATAGCCTGTGGCAAGTTAGCTTGCTTTCCTGCACCACAGTTTCTTCGTCTGGAAATGGACCAGTAAGAACACTGCTGCTTTAGAGCTACCATGCTAATTGTTGGTGCAAATGTGTGTAGATGTTAGTGCAGGGCAGAGCAGATTTCCTTTTCATCTTAAAACCATCCTGTTGAGAGGAAAGACAACCAGAACCAGACTCGAATGTTCAAAGAGGATCTGTATCCAAATACCCAAGAGCTTGCTTGTGTTGAGTTCTGTACCAAATCCAACAATACTGTTGTCTCCATCAGACGCCATCATCATGTGATGGGGGCTTTTTAAACTAAGAGTGTTCCTACCCATGATTCCTTTTTTTTTTTTTTCCTCACCTGGCATGTTGGGCAGGTGGGGAAGCTTTGCTTATTGTTAGCTTTTTTTTTTTTTTTTAAGCAATCACAGTTCAAGTGAAAGGTAGTTCTGTGCCAAGTTGGACTGTAAATCATGAGCTGTTGCAGAACCTTGGATGAATTGCTTGCCCCAGCCCACTCAGCCTCCCCTTTAATTTTCTTCCTTTCTCTTCCTCTCGGTCACCTCTCTTTACCAAAGAGACTCCCCCATCCCAACATCTCCCAGAAACCCTCACGCAGGTGCCTTTCAGCACAGAAATAAGACTCTTTTAGTCCCTTGTTCTCCTTTTTGCGATTTTCCAGCCAGCTTCCCTGTGTATCACCATCAGCTTTTGATAGAACACAAGCAGAGCAGTTCCTTCCGGGAACCAACTTTGTCTAAAGTGGCTCATTATTGTTCTGAGGCCATACGCCTTCTGAGCTTTTTACCGGGTCATTTTTATTCAAATTACTGGTTAGCCAAGCCATTCTTTTCTGTTTGCCAGCTGCTCCAAAGCTTCAGGCTCCATCCTTTCCTTTACCCTTAAAACAAATGCCCTTCTCTGGTATGTCTGTCTCTTCTCACTCATCATCCCCCTTGAAGTTGTTTATTCCCCCACTGACTCACTATAAATCTTTCCCCTTGACTTTTAACTCCATTTTGAAACGATAGAAATGTTAGATTGCTTCATGAGGAGGAATTGCTGTTTTAACCCCCCAGCAGCTCCAAAAGTGAATTATAGAGTAAAAATGAAGCTGATGGTGCAACAGGAATGGGGAAGGGCGGGGGCATAGGGAGCATCCTGTAGCTGCCAAGGTGGATGTCACTGGGGCTAGGTGGTCAGGCTCCTGGGGCAGGAGGGCAGACCGTGGATGTTCAGTGTCTCTTTCCAAAGCTATGGGAAACAAGAACTGGAAGAGGGCTGAGATATGCTTGCCTCAGGCCCTCACCTCCTTCTAAAGCTTCCTTGAAAACACAGCCTACCAGCTTTGCAAGCCCCAGCACACCCCTATACCTAGCCCTGCTCTCAGCTACCATGCACCAACCAGTGTGCCACACTGTCACTGTGTTTCATGCATGGTGTATGAGGGGAGGGATATTATAGGACAGGCATCCTTAATACCATGGAGAGAGTGGTGCCCTCTCTTCTCGCCTGCCTCTCTCCCTTCCTCTTTCCTCCCCTCTCTCTCCTCCTTCGTTCTCCTTCATGGCTTTGATGTAGAAGAAACTCGAAGAAACAGAATTATGTTCTAAAGGATGTACTAATAGATTTGCTTAGGAGACATTAAATCATATAAAGTAGAATTTAGCTAAGAGAGCACTGTGGCCTAAATATTCCAAAGATAAGTAGTGTGTTCACCAGCCCTGTTAGAAATAAACAAGATTAGGA